GAGTGAATCTTCACAAAGATCAGTTTGATGGTAGCCGCAAATAAGTCCTTGCTTTGACACGGTGCCACAAATTAGTATTATACAACCATTAAAAGCTATAATCTGGTTAATTTAAAACGTAGGAGACCAGTTTAAACACCTTTCACCTACAAGCTCGTGGTGCTGAAGAAAATGGGTAACGCATTTCCTGTTACCTAAGAAATTTCCATACAAAACTAGTAGCCTTCATGATTTCCTCAGATGCTAAGTATAATGGAGACAAAGAATTGAGCTTTTCTGTTCAATATACATTCACAAATCTCAAAGTATTAAAAGTCCTCTTCTTAAAGCAAGAAGAAAAACCGCTAATCTTAGTCTGGAGCCAAACTCTTGCTCACCAGTGAAGAGCAGATGCAGGCATTAATAACTAAGAACAGCAGCTTTTTTTTTTTTTTGTGAAGAAAGTTGTTTTGTTGATGTATAATTTAGATAACGAAAAATAAAAAGCATGCTTCATTCCGCATTGTTAAAAATAAAGCTTCTAATTTTGCACTATGAAATGTAGACTAAATTATAGGCCAAAACCTTGCATTTTTCTTCTACAGACACAAATATGCAATACCGGGGGAACAAGCTCTAGAAACTTGTATATATATAAAAATATTTCTCCCCCTTCAAGTCACAGTTTACTTCACTGGGAAAATAGTGTCAATGGAGAATTAATCAGCAAGCTGGAATACATTTTTAATTCAGTTCCCTTTCCCCTACCTCCTTGAGTTGATGGCACATTGACGGCAACAATCTTGCTGTTTGCAGGGAGTGGCAGCTTAGTTATCACTTTCCCTGCCATCGTTACTGGACTGCCTGAGATCTGGAAGGTCTGCCCTGTGCTGGCAATGGTTGTGGCTGAAGTGGCAGCTGTGCTAGTGGCTATTGAGGTACACAGAACAGTCAGTTTTAGAGCAGAATAATTAGTCAATGAAATGACTATATTCAAGTATGAAACAGCAAATACAGGATTATTTTTACAATCTTTTCGAATGCGTCATACTTTCTTTGGTAAAGATTCTTTTTTGGAAACAGTATGTTACAGCACAGAATGCTTTCATTATCAATGATTATCAGTACAACAACTGTCAGTAATAAATGAGGCAGGTCAGAAATAAGGCTACCTAGCAAGTCTGAACAAAGAAAAAATTAGACAGGTATTATCTCAAAAGTGTCCCGCTGACTTAGCAAAAGAGTTAAGAACAAAGATAACAAGAAATGTAATAATGCTACGTATTCTGGAGAAGAGGTAGGTGCTGTGTGGAGTTCATCCTATTTACATGTTCCTTCCACGATAAGTGGCTACTTACCTGTTGAAGATTGGCCTTGTTTAACCCAAGTAGCAAAAGTCTGATGGAAATTCTTGTTCTGTTGGAATGTTACTGTAGCTGGAGAACCCACTTTTGTAGTAAGTACTACTTTGGTTCCAGTGGGGACTGGGCCTGCTAAAGGGCCTACCACAACTTTCTGTGCTGTTGAGACAGTAGTTGCAGTGCTGCTGGCTGTAGTGACTGCGGGGACCACACCTGCTGCAGGTATCTGCTTCTGCTGTTCCAGCCGTTTCTACAGAATTTAGGAAAAAAATTAAACAAAGGGATAATTAGCATATTCAGATTTTGTAAAATAAATGCTGTCTCTTCCCCATCTTGAAAAATAAAGGACTCTGGTAGGATTTTAGTTCAAGTTGTAAAGGACTGAAGAATAGGCTGCTTGCGTACCTTATAGCACAAGACTCCCTGACCTGCAGAACTACAGCTCCGCTGATAGTACACAGCCAGAAATTTTCCTTTATAGCATCTTTAAAATCCTCAGCTTATGTTAATTTCGCTGCACATATTAAAGAAAACTTACTAGTCTCAGATTAATCTGAAAGGTTAAAAAACTTTGAAAAATATCCATCTATATTTGGCTTTGACCATGTGCATACAGCCTGCATCTATGTCAGTAAGCGGTACACCATCATTACCACAGTTTATTACTATCATTCCTAAGTTTAGAGCTGCCTGCATTGAAATCCTGCCAGTTACAGAAAAAAAAAAAAAAAATGAAGAGACTGTATCATTCTACTTCATCATCAAGAATGTAAATTTAAAAGTTATTCTTTTAACCGTAAATCCAGTTTGCAGCTTGCTTAAAAAAATTAGGTTCACAATCCCTTACCTAACCCAGCAACCTTCTGTGCTGTAACTGTCAAGAAGGCACATTTAATTTAGAGAGCCACTTTGTGAAGGAATAGTATCAGTAAGCTCTTTTAAAATTCCAACTAATTTAACATTCTTCCCCATGTTACTGGAATTATCTCTGTATTTATCAATTTAAATCTCAGTATTTGGTTAGCATTATATTGCAGTAATGCCCATGAATCAGAAACACTCATTCACTAGTAATATATTTTCTTCAGGGAAGATGAAATGAAAAAGGAGCAAGTTGGAAAAAAGCACAATTCTTAATAACATATGTGAAATACTAACATGGTATTGGGTTTCCCAATTTTAATTGTATATATTTATATATACATACAGACTTATAGTTATACATACATATCTATATATATTAAAAAAAACCAACCCAATGGGCTTCATTCAGCCAATTTAAGATAGGATAAAAACAAAAGATTCAATTTGATTGAAGCATGAAGAACAAATGCAGTTGTACTCCCAAGTCAGCTATATACCAAGGCAGCTTTCCATTACACCACAGAAGACTGTTGACCTTACCTGGAGATTGGTGCTTCTCAGCCTTCTTTTAAAAAGGAAACAAACTAAACCTTTTTTAAAGTTTTACGTATTAGGTGAAAAAAAAGGGAATCCAAAACAAATCTTTGCCTTAACCCCATTTCAAAATAATGAATGTACACAGCGGGAGCAGCATTGTTTGATGACTCAGTTTGCACAGAAGGTGGAAACTATTTGAAAAATGGTGTAAGACAGGGATAAAACTTTGTTTCCCATATTCTAATGCATGTGGACCACCAGTGCACAGTTGCTGACAGGTGGGACTACCAATAGCTCCCCCACCTGCTGGGCAGCCAATCGTTGGTGTTTTAGTTGAGCCTCCAATTGGGCCTTGAATTCCTCTGCCTTCTTCTGTTCACTAACCTTAGCCTGTTGTTCAACTGCCTGTGCCTTTTCCTTCTCCACCCTGCCAAAGACACAACCGAAAGTAAGTTATACCACCACGTAAAATCCAACCATCAAACTGGACTTCATTTTACCCAGCTTAAATGTTCTTAAAAGAACAAACGTCAAGACTGAAGATCACTGAAAAGCTCATCATGGCTTTAAAAGTATTTTGAAACAAACTATTGAAGTTGCATGCAGCTTCCCTGAAATATTCTGATGCTAAACTACTGCAATACCTTACAGGAAACTATTAATCAAAACTGGAATTTATAATCACATCTGGGACTGCAAACAATCTACGTAATACCATTAATTTAAAACAATTATCTCCAAGCGACTCAAAAATGTTGTTCCAACTCCAAGCATGCAATACTGAAAATATTTGTCTTATGAATTGAATATTTTCAGGCTGAATTTACCTTTACTTTACTTGTACACATTCATTTTCTTTGTATTATAGAAGTATGTAAACATATACTGTTTAAAGTCCTGCCAAAAGTAGCCTAAAGCCTTTCCATGCATTATAGTAATAGCCTTTTGGCATATAACAGTGATTAGTTCATAACCATGGAAAAATTAATATAATATTAGTTCTAACAAATCTGCAAGATCTGCATAAATTAGTTTTGGTACCAGCAAATAGTTTAACTTTACAAGTTTAAGCTTGACAATCATTATCAAAAGACAGTAGAAATGCAACACAGATCCGCTTTTACTGATTGTAGCTACCAAGTTTTTAGAAGTGGGAACTTTTAACATACCCACACAAATTAAAACTGCTTTCTTTAAAAGGTCATTTGAGTTTGTTTACCTTTCAGCAAATGCCCTGATCTCCCATAGTTCCAATTCCTCCTCTGCTACCCAACTTTCAATTATAACAGGGCCCGTTTGCTTGGGTGTTTCTGGCCTTTTTGGCCTCAGTGCACTTGATCGCAGTCCTTTCCTCTGGGGCGTTGGAGTTTCTTTAGAGAACAGTCAAAACACACACAATAAGCTCAATCAGAAAACAAAACTGAAGTGCAAACCAAGGTTTAGTGTCTCTTTCAGTCTCATTTTATAAACAAGAAGGCCTTTCAGCTTCAGATAAATCATGTCAGTTTGTTAAACGCATCATTTGTTTCAAATAGGCGAATTAATAGTTCATGTCAAGCTATAGTTGCTCCTTGATGGTCTGAATTAACGTAAAGATCCAGTTACCTTAATTTCTGCAGGAGCTTATTGGAAGGGGAAAAAATTGTATACACAAACATACCTTTTGGAGCCTCTGGTACACCAATGGGACAAATAATTTTTCTTATGCAGTACTCTGACCGGATTCCATATGGACCAACATCTCTTCGCTTGATTATTTCTGTCGTTGTAATTTCTGTTTCAGATGTTTCTACAACAAATTAGTCCCAATACGTTAATAACAGAAAACAAATAAAAGCTAAATCTCCAATCAACCCAATATACTCAAGGTAAAGAAACAGCAACTAGTACAAACTGTTGACTAAAAAAATTCAAATACCATAGCTAACACCGAGCCTTTATAGAAATGCTTGAAACGAGTGTAATACTCAAAATTAACTGCAAGAGCCTTCGCATTAAGAAACCTAGAAATTTAAAGAAATAATACCTGTACGCGTGGTTCCTCCCCCAGGTGGAGCTTTTGCTGCCATATCATCCCATTTGAGACATGCCCACAATAACCGCAACATAAGGCTCACTCCAGCCAATGATTTTACTGTTTGAAGTCGGTACCTAACAACAGAGCATTAATTACATTTTAAAATCAAAATGTATTCAAAATACCTAACCAAACCAATGGGACAAAGGTTTTCCATTCTACCTTTATTGAACAATATAGAAAATTATTGAATAATAAAGAGCAAAACTTGCACGGTTGGGCACAAACATGTATATCGCTTGTATTTTAAAATTCTATTAATTTAATCACATCCTAAACTTTTCCTCAAAAATGTAAAGTATGTACCTCCAGGTGATCCCAAAAGTTGGCCTTGGGGATGGATATGGCCAGATATCCAAGGCAGGCTTTGCATTGTAATTGAAATAGGGAACTTCTCTGATCCCTCCTTTTCTGGCCAGCTTTTTTAAGTCATCATTGGGTAAAACAAATATGCTTTTTTTACTGCTTTTGGTAACGAATTTTCTGTAAGATGGTAAGGCAGTTCCAGAACGAGTTTTTTTGGGTCTTGCAAATTTCATTAACTTCACTTTGTCTTTCGTAGAATATTCTTTGCTGACAGTCATGGAAGTCACCAATGTGCCTTCTGGGGTGGTGAGCGAATCAGTTACTGTTGTTGTAACCACTGTTTTACTATGCTCTTGTACAGAAATGACATCAATGTTACTGTCTGTAGCTGGAGTGGTAAGCTTAGTTACAGTAGTGGTGGTAGTTACAGTGGATATGGCACAATTTTCTGTAGATGATACTACTGTTGTTTTCTCATCATTAGAAGCTACAGTCTCTGCCACTTTAAACACAGTTTTGGACTCTGTAGACACAGTTGATGTTGTGGTAGTCACTTCAGTAATAACAGTTTTTATTTTACTTTCTCCATTAATATTTTCCATTTTATAAGTCTGTACACCATTCTGATCAGCAAAGTCACTACTCAAGCTAGATTCCTCACATGAGGTTACAGGCGATGGAGCAACTTTCTTATCCTCAATTACTTCAGTTTCCATAGATTCTGTTTCACTATTCAGGTTATTTTCTTTACAGACAGTATGTGTTGGCATGGAAGCAGAGCCAACAAAGGCAGATCTCTCAGGAGAAAGCTGTTTTTCTTCAGTTTTCTGCACATACTTGGAAACTTCATCTGGTGGCTGAAGACTCTCCCCAGATTCAAACTCAGGTGAACTCTGCAGATGCGACTTAGGGTCCACATTATTTTTGTCCTTTGTGTCCTCTATCATGATGTCACCATTCATGAATGGTTTGACTGATGATTCCTTAAAAGCCAATGGTTTTATTTCATGTTCCGGAATGGATTTATTAATATTATTAACTTTTGGTTCAGTATCACCCCCTGCCTTAGTTTCACAGGTATCTTTAACTAAGCAGTCATCATTTGATAATACTTTAATGTCATTGTCTTTTCCGTTCATTTGAAATGCTGATTTTTCTTTGTCTAAGTCTGTCTCAGTTTTTTCATCTTTATTATTCTTTTTGTCAGTAACACTATTTAGATTTGTCTGATCAAGATATTTGTTTATGGTACTTGTCTCCACTTTCAGTTCCTGACCTTTCTTTTGACCGTTAGCCTCAGTTAGTTTAGAGCTCAGTAAATCCTCATCAACTTCTACCTCATCCATGTGTTCCAGACTTTGACTTTCAAGATTTCTTTCAGAAATTAGCTCTGTTTTAAATGGTTTTAGGTCTTTACTCACTGATTTTTGGTGAAATATGATCTTGTTTTCAGATTTATTTTCAGTCTTTCCTGGAGCAATTTCTTCCTCCATTTCACTTTCTCGAGAGGATGTTGGTTCAATATGGCTTTTTATCATACAACTGTTTTCTGGATCTTTGCTCTGCTGTTCAGAATTTCCTTCTGAAACTGTTTTTTCAAGAGTGGCCAGAGCATCTTTTCTACAGCTGCTTTCAGTTACCACTGGCTCCAAGTTTTCACATTCACGCTGAGATACTCTGGTAATAGGTAGCTTTTGTTGCAAAGGTTTTTCGCTTGTTTCCGAAGCATCCCATTGAATTCTGCCTTCTGCATTTGTTTGTTTCAAGCCATCCACAAAGGAACTCTCAGACTCTCCAAGAACCTCTTGTCCTTGACACTTAGCAGCAGCCATAGGTTCAGGGTTGTTTTCTTTACTATCATTCTGAATGGAGCTTTCGCCTTCAGAGGATTGAGGCGAGTCTTCATCCAGTAGCTGGCCTTCTCTTTTTGATAGTCTGTTTGTCAAAGGCAAAGAGGGTTCATCTAGCTCACCAGTTTTGGTACAACAGATGCTGCTGATCGGCAAGCAGTCCTGTTCTGCATCTTCAGTTTGGGTCTTATCTGAAATATAGGTTTGATCTTGGGAAGACATGTCAAACTGGCTTCCTTCTTTTACTTTTCTCATTTGTAGCTCATTTATGTTTTTCTGGGGGCTTACAGATCGAATGCCTCCTGTTTTAGCACTAGCCTCCAGTTTCATCCTTTCTAGACGTTGTTTTTCTTCCAGTGTAAACTGTTTTATTCGCCTCTCAAGTAGTCCATCTAATTTTGATGATTTTACTTTCCTTTTGTAGCAAGTCCTTAAATGAAATCCCTCGCTGACATTGATTATATCCAGCTTACAATGACTGTCCTCATCTTTTATGGGGGATTCAATTTTCACATCATCTACATCCATAGGTTCTTCCTTGATGACTTTATCATTTTCACCATCGATTTCTTTTTCCACTGTGAAGAAGAAATAACCGAATCAGTAAGCTTCCCCAACAATGAATACCAAACCATATTTTTACATTAAGTACCAAGAAACCAACGGACCTTTTAGCATATTAATAGATTTCAAGAAAAAGGGAACAAAAACTTCAGACACTACTACAAGGGATAATCAGCAATCGTTTAACTGAGCATTTTGAATGTCTTGACAAAACCTCTTACACAGTTTTCAACAGTTATTTCTGAAGTCCTATGCTTTTACACGTGCAATGTTGTAATGAATAGCTAGTTTTACAATAAGTGTATCACCTTTGTCTTTTGCATGCTCTAAATTTTCAGAAATTGTATCAACTTCCACTTTTTCTTCATGTGACTTTTCTTCTTTCACTTGCACATTCTCCAAGGTTTCTGAAACATCTGCTTTGTCTTTTGCTTGCAGATCATGGGAATCCTTTGTTCTGTCTTTCTCTATTTTTACCTTAATTGGACCTTTTCGTTTATCCAAGTTGCATTTTTCATCTTCACTCTTTGCTATTAACAAATTAATTAAATGGTTTCAATTATTCAGAATATTTTTTTATACTCTGCTACATTTTAGTGTATGTTAGTTTAACTCTCAAATCCTTCACACATCATTACTGAAATTCAGAAATAGAATTAAGTATACATACAATGGTACCATCATAGATTAAGCTTAGTGCATTATTGAATAATAGTAATAAAAAAAAGTCTAAAAGCCCACCAGAGATAAAAACGTTTCATTTACATTATTTTTTCAGAGTCCATGTTCAGCTTTTCTTAAAAACAAAATACCAGAAAAACCTCCCCAAAAGCCCCCAAACAATCCCCCCAACACCCCCCACATTCTTCCAGGAACTAACTACCACTTTCCGAAAACCCAGCCTATTAAGAGCACATTAATTCAGGCTCTGAAAATTCACAGATTATTTTTAATAATTTTGATTTCTACAGTTAAACCAGAACGCACATTAGTATTCAAATGACTTTGTGCTTAACACTGCTGTGGCTATTAATTGCCATACAGAAAACAAAATAAATCTGATTTAACAATTATATAGACAACACTAAAAGCAGCAGCATCCATTTTGTGTTTGATCCGGTTAAAAGCAACAGGGAAAGTATTACATCAATATGTGACGAAAGAAATAATTTTTGATACGTAATACAGGGTGGGCTGCCATCTTCTAAATTTTAAAAGGAAACTCCAGATTACACTTATTATAAATAAGACTCATACAGTTCAGGATGCATCTAGAAGTCAACTGTGCAAATTTTTTTCTTTTTTAAGATAAATCCTTGAAACAAATAAACAAGACGGTGTGTTTTGAACTTTCTATAGAAATAAATTTCTTTCCCCTTATAAAACTATTGTTTCTAGATAAAACTGCTTAATAGTATTCTGTCAACATGGGGGGGGGAGGGGGACAGTGTATATATACACACCAATATTTTAGATCTTAATTTTTGCTTGTGATTATCTACATAATTTTTATCTAACTTTAATTTAAATAAGGCTATACAAAGCTGTACAAATATTACACGCAACTTCATAATTGAAACAATCTAATGTAGCCAAAAAACGTCTATGACAACTGAACTGGTTATATCAACAAAGATTAGCAGAAATCCACAAAAGCTTCCCTGGAACACTATTTGTAACAAAGTCTACATAAGATGTATCAAGGGCAAATAATTAACTGAATAAGCAATAAAAAGCGGTATGTCAGTAATTAAAAAAAAATGTAAGCAATGCAGACACTTACTTGGTAGCAACTTTCTATAATTTGCGTTAGTATTTCCAGGCAGTTTGGGCATAAACCTGTGGACGTGTGTTTTACTAATCCAGCTCCAGCCACCATATCCCGTTACTCTATATTCCTCTCCTTTTTGCTTCCACACCTGTTAAATATTTTTAAAGTAGTAGTTTTAATGGTGCTATTTGCTGCACTATTAATGTATACATCCATTTAAAAACCTAAGATGATTTTTTTAAAATACAAAAAGTCCAATTTACAGACTGTTTCATGCAAGTTGAAGTATATTTGTGAAATAATGTACTAAAATTAAAGATACATCTATTGATAACTAAATTGATTCTATCATAGTAACATCTAAAAACAATTTTAATGTCACGTAACAGTGAGAATCTATTGACCTAAAAGCTGAAAAATTATACAAGTTTTTGAATCAACCTGTGTGTTTGTTACAACAAATAAATTTAGAGCAGAGAACCACTCCAACAAAAGTATTTAATATCTACTGTAGGAGAATATAAAGAGGTTTCTATAGTAGTTCCTATCATATAATATAACCTTCCAAAGTAAAGGTAGCTAGGCTAGGTTTTTTGCAGGGAGTGGTGATGGGAGGGGAGCACTGGACAGGGACAGACATACAGACAAGATTCCAATAACCATCTAGAACCCTTCCATTAGGAAAGGCCGCATTTTGCAGACAAACGCGTCAATTCAGGCAGTGTTACTAACAGCATAATACATGTCAAATTTAGTTCAGACCAAGATTATGTGCTTGAACAGGTGGGCATGGTTCCTACACCAACGGCAGGGAGTAACACAATGACATTAAAATTTTAAGTTTAAAATGAAAACAGAAAAAGAGTAAGAAATCAACAATTTCTGTATTTTTTTTGTTCTTCACACAAAAGAAAACCTCACCTGATGTTTGACAGGAAATGTATATTTCACCCATGTAGCTTGCTGCATTGTTTCCTCCTCTTCTTGTTTTCTCTCTTTTTTTTTCACTTTCTCCTTTTCTTCTCTTTCTATTGCTGTCATTCTGCGTAATCTAATACATATAGATTTAAGTACATTTAAGTACAGGATCTCGTAAGCAAACATAAGTAGTCAAACAACAGCATATACTACCCCTTTGAATAATTTTAAATATCTGAAGTTAAGAGGAAAGCCCGGTATCAGGTTATACGTATTACTTGCAACAGGAACACTGCTTTTTTTGGCTATTCCAGTAAGCCAAACACAGCTGCCTGCAACTGTGCCTAACATCAGACACATTTCGTTTCTGCTTCTATGACGCAATGAGAGACAAAAGACAGACTCCACTGAACTGAGTGTGTTGAAATTTGCTCTTCTAGTCTCCCAAAGTTTTATCACTTTTGAGACTGTGGCTCAGATAAAGAAAACAAACTTGCTTTGCAGGAGCAATGACACTACAAAGATCTTGTCATGTATTTTCAGCGTTTCTGGTTGAGCAAGTGCCGAATGACTGATTAAATTTAAGCATAATTCTTACAGGCTTAGAGGAACTAGTAATTGTAAAACAAAGTAAAGTTCTCATATTCAAAAAGATTTTTATGTTTATTTATTTTACCTAGTGTGCCCCAACGATTCCCGCCAGATTGGCAGCATGACAACTGGTTTAATTGCACATTCCAATATAGCCAGCGCTAGTGCAAATTCTCTAGGTTTGCTGCACATCTGAACAGCCTTAATCCAGTTAGACCTAAATTGGAAAAAAGATAAAAACCTGAAACATACACACATGCACTAATATAGCATGCTATGTTAATAAGATGTAACGGCAGGATAAAACCTCCTATATTTTAATACTTTACTCAAATGAGCAATCCTTTTAGCCATCCATCACAAAACACGAACATGTTATCTTACATTTTAATATACCGAAGCACAATGCTTAGAAATTACTGACTTGAAAAAATAAAGACCCTTGCTTATTAATACTGTTAGCAAAAATACAAGTAAAACAAGAGAATATGTATTTTCATTTATTAATTTACCTGTGGGAAGCCCAGTTAGGGTGAAGGAACGATGCCGGGATATTGTTTTCTAGCTGAATAATAGTTAGCCTCAAAGTGGATATGGTAAGAACTTTGGACCCATGTACAGACCCGTTCCATTTGAACTCTCCAGCAGGAGTCAGACAGAATTTATGCGAGAGATGTCGTCTCTTGTCATGGTCCTCCCTGTGCTGGTGCTTGTTTAATGCAAATGAATTAGTGGCATACTGGTTATGATAAACACGATACTTCCCCTCTTGCCCTAATTTGAAATAATTGTTGATATTTCCTTTCATCACAACTTCCTTCTTTGTGTTCAGTCGGGAGACTTCACCTTGAGAGTTGACCACCAGAACCTTGTGAAAGAAAGAATGATTTTAAAGATTCACTTAAGTTTCAAGTATTTCTATGCACTTATTTATGATTTAGGCTTCAACTGTCTATATATAAAATAATAAAAATACCTTGCATCAGTTTGTAGAAGCAAATAACTGTTTATCTGATATACTAGATATATGTACTTCATCACTGATTGTATATGGATGATTGTATATAGAGTTAGAATATTCCCAAAGATCAACTTTAACATTAAAAAACCCGCCATCCAGGCTCCTGAGGAAGTCAAATAGGAACCTGTTTACTGCTCTGAATTACGCCTATTGAGACAGACAGCTTCGGGAAAACAGCTTCACTAAACTTAAGTAAGCTTTCTGTGAAACCCCTCCTTGGTAAATCACAGAATTCATACATGTCACTAAGCAAACAAGTATCTTTGACTTGGAAAACATGGCATGGATAACATCACTGGTCTAACTACTCATAACTGGCTTCCAAATTTGAGAGGTTTGTGAATAAATATGCTAAATGTTAACATACAAGGAAAACCAGTTAACAAAAATAACATTAATATGCCAAACAATATGCAGACAACTAACTGCAACAAACTCTTAACATTCAAACGCTTCTTTCCTTGAGAAACTGGGCTACTTAAAAAAAAAACAAACCAAAACAAACCACCAAAAAACCAACAATCAACCTAGAGCCATACAAAATATTTATACTAACTGGCAGACATTTGAGAGAGATTTCACTTTCATCTGCATCAAGCAGTGCTACAATTTGGCAATGATTGCCTTTAAATGACCATACTCTGCCAGTACAGATTTGTTATGAACTGGAAATGTGGTTATTACCTAGCTATTCAAACAATAATCAAACACAAACCACTGTTAAGTTGTAGTTTTGGCACACCAGTTCTGTGAGATTTGAAGACAGAAGTAGGAGAAAATGTGTATAACTTATTACTGGCTATACAGTAAACAATTCTCTAACTTTTATGACCAGCATGTTAAAGGAAGGAGGTGCACTGGGTCACTGTCATACTGCTCTGTAGATAGAAACTAAGAGAGCAAAAGCAAAGGAGAGGGAGGAAAGAAGCTTCCTGTTACATTACAATTTCACCATTTGCTAATTTATTATTACTACTTTAAGTGCCTCCATAGTCTGCCAAAATCACTTTTTTATTTTTAAAAATATTATCACTTTTCTAAAACAGTTTTCAGACTTCTTTGAATTTTCCAAGATGTGCACAAACCTCTCTGCCTTCTTTATATAACTTATTTGCTTCATGTGCTGCAGCAGCAACCTGCTGGCTTTTCATCTGGCTCAACTTGCTATCTGGATTTCGTAATCTTGTGAGCATTCGCGTCGAACCTGGCGTGCCTTTTCCTGCGCCTGGAGAATCACTTCTTTCACCATTAGATTTCTCTCCTGCCCAGGAAAAAAAGGCTTTTAAAACAAACTTAAAAATTGCAAGTTTTCTATTGACATATAGGAGTTATAAAGTAAAAAGAAAAGATGCGTAAAATGAAAGTTAGAGACACTATTACTACCTATGTCCTCTGAAGTCTGGGATCCCCTCTCTGCATTTTCAGCATCATCAGGCGTCTTGATGGAGTCATTCTGCCCACAGCCCAACTCACTACCGTTGCTGTTTTCAACATCTGAGTGTAGAGGTGCAGCAGATGCACTGCTACTGTTGCTAGGGATCATCTGACCAGTTTCTTCTACGAAACAACAATTTCATTTTTAGTTTTTCTTTTAAATTGGATCAATGCAATTTTTTCTAGTTTTAAATTTGCTATAAAAAAGTCAGATGAACATCTTTTGCTGGACTTGAGAGAAATACCCATAAAATATTAATTCCCTCCAGAGCATTGTATCCATGAAAGTATTTTTTGTTCTGTTTCAAGCAGTTTCAACTTTCACAGTTCTGAAGAACTGAAATTCATACTTGGATGAAATATGAATATATTTTAAATAAGACATTTTTTTTTCTATAGATGCACACACAGAGAACCCTCTACTGAGACTTTGTTTTGCTTTTAGAATGCAGATTTCAAGAAATTTGGTCTTCCTGCAGCTTCTATGATTGTCTCTCTTTTGATTTTCTTGTGCTTCAGCTGTTCCACAAACCATACACGTTTCAGTTCCCCTCCAGTTTTCCACCAAGTCTTTGTCTCTTCTTCAGCACATTAATTCTGAGGAATCCCACAGATTTCAGTTCAGTTGGCACCACTCTGTATCGAAACTCCTCCTCTGCAAACTTAAAAGTATCAGCCTCTTTCTTACAATCTGATGGGTCAAGATGTTGCTTCAAGCTCAGTAAAACAAATGGGTTTTTGGCCGTCCGTTGTCCTTGTTACTGTCTGTCCTGACAGCCACCTCACTTGTGGCTAAGGTGTACTGCACGAGTATGAGCTTTCAACTACAGCATCAGTGAATTGCAGCTACCTAGAAATAAATCACTCCAGCTTCCCAGTAAGAACAAGCCACCATCCCTCAAAACAACATCATCTTGATTTTGTGCAAAAGAGACACAGCTTAGCTGTTTAAAAAATACAAGATTTTTCTGTTTCTAGAATTCTTCCAAAACATCCCTGACGGGGACGTTTGGTCTGATCCCAGACCTCCTTTTTGTGAAATACTGACTCGCAGCAGAAAGACAATTAGGTAAATATTCCGGGATTCTTAGAAGATCCTTAATCTAAATGCACCTCGATTTCTGGCTTTGCCAAGTGGGTGCCACCACTGTTCGATCCATTTCCCTTTTTACTAAGAGGAAAAATGGAACCATTTGTGATGCCTGCTGTTTGGAGGAGGGTGGAAGCACCCTAACTAGACTCTTTTATTAAATACTTGTATCCAAATTGCATTTAACAAGGATGGCGACAAACACATTCTTGTCTAGCTTTGCATTTTACTCTTATTTTCCCCCTCTTTGGGGGTAGCTGCCTCACTGATACTGGTTCAGTATCTCTCCCTCCCTATGAAATGAGTGTCTCAAACTGAAATAGGAACACAAGTATCACTATGAATACAGTAAATTAGACTTGAGGCAGAACCCTCTCCACACACACACGCTTTCCTACAAGAAAAAGCCCACTAATTTAAAAATATGATAGAAGCTTTGGAAGGAGAAAAGTACCCGTGAAAGTATAATAAAGAAGTAATGATAAATATAGAAGTGAATATTTAAAATAAAATATGAACCCATAAATGTGGCTCGAACAAAGTTATGCAATATGTATCTTTTCCATTAAACCTCTATACAGTTACTTTAACTTTAAAATGGAATAAAAAAATATGAGAACAGGCAAAAATATTTGGTCAAATATCTGAAATGTATTGCTTTTTTCCCCATGCACCAGGACATTTTCTGTATTAAAAGAGTGTATTATGAAGCTTCCAGATTATGGACTAATCTTAACTTCCATTTTCTCCTCCTATTAACAAAGTTTATTACAAGGTTTGGATGCATTCACATTTGCAAGTTCAAGAACTGCAATCTATATTTGAATGAAGAACTGTTTCTGTAGGAGAGAAAAATGTTTACTACTACTTTTCAAAACATAACACACTGAGTATGGCTACATCGCAGATTATTTTTAAATTTTTTAAGAACTGAAAATAAAACTCTTATAATAATTTTAACAGTAATCAAATGTTTAGAGCAACATTTGGTTATGTAGTAAAGCTTGTAATAGAATATCATTCTAAATGTAACAGAATATCATTCTAAAATAGTACACTGATAATTTATGTTACACCCAATCAAGTCCCATTTATTCCTAAATCTAAAGCTTTTCTTTTTTAATTAAATAATGTATATTACTACTTTTGAATCACTGACATGGCAGAACAAAACATGTTAAAATACAACAAGATCCCCTGTGCTTATAATTCTGAAATCTGTTTAAAATTCCTAGCATGACAACTTTAATCTTGACATTTCAGTGCAATGTTTACTCACGTGAATGAAAATACTTTGTTTGTTAGTAATTTATACAGTCAATGAGAGGTTAAAATAATAAACAAGCCAGCAGCAAATCAGAATTTGAAATAAACTTTGATAGGACGCTAACAATCATTATGGATCATTATGGAAAAATAAAATATACAGAAAATAGAACATAAAAAGCTTAGCCACAGTCATCTTTGGAAGGCATGGAAACAAATGCTAATGCCACCGAGGGCCACAAATTTCAAGCACTAGTTGCAAGAAAATTAACTTTGAAATGTTAATGACAACGTAGCAGTAAAGGATGGCACTGCAAGCAAACAGCATGAGTGATATACTCTGTGAATGGTTTTAGTGGACAAACCAGATAGAAAAATGTAACAGATTCCCCAAATTACAGAGGCATTTGTAACAGTGCCTTCTGTACCTGAGAGTTCCTGAGGGAGCTCTGATGCCACCTTCTTCTCTGCCACGTTGTTGCTATCAAGGGTTTCTGACTGACACCCCATTGCGTTCTTCCCTTCAGAGCAACTAGTCTCTCCTGCAGAAGGATTTGTGTTGTTGTCATCAGTGCTTGATGTCACAGAGTTACTTTTATCCCCAACGACTGTTGCCTCTATAGTAAAACGCACAACAAAACTTTAGGGATATTCTTTAGTATGTCTTAGGATGTCATTTGGCATCATCCATAGAAAGCAACTTGAGCAGCTTTGTTTGTCTGTTTGATAATGTTGAAAAACATCAAGCTTTTTCCTCTCCTTTTTTTATTCCTAGTATTGTCTCAGAATCAAAGAACAAACTATTTAATTCTGATGAGGAAAACAATGTTAAAAATGATGTAGTGTTGCTTACTACAAACATGTTGATCACAACCTGTAAGGGCCATCTGTACCTCAAGCCAAGGTATCTACAAGCTAGCTGTATTTAACTTGAAAAGTAGGAAAATTGGTGAAATTACTTAACAAGAAAAACAATAAAAAAACCCAATTATAATATACAACCCCAAAGGAACCGACAAATATCACCTACTACTTAAAAAATAACTTACAGAATCATACAAAAAAAAAAATCACATCACCACTTAAAGAAATGTGAGGATCTTTAGTTAAGATTCAATTTACTTAAATGAAGTTGTCGAAGCACAGTCACAGTTTCTTTACCTTCTGTTTTCACTTTTTCCGCATCTTGCTCAGTGGGCGTTTCCTCAGTTTTATCTTGGTCTCCAGATTCTTCCTTGCTTCTCTCAGCATCCGTCTGGTCATTATCAACATCGCTTTTGGCCTTTTCTGCTTCATCATCTGCTGTGTTTTTATCTTCCACTATTTCTCCTTTTCGTGCTCTGATAATGTCCAAAATTTCATCTACAGAGAAAGTATGTTGTCATCAATAAACAAACCACCACCTACAGAGCCACTGAGCAGAAATAACGTGACACAAATACTACTTCTTTTCAATGAGACAAAAGATAACATCCAACTTCTTACCACTTTTCCCAACTCAGAAGAAACAATTCCAAAGATTTAGTTACTGATTTCTCAGAATTATGCATTTATATAGCGATGACTTAAATCCATTTTTAAACCTGAGTATCTAATCTTCACATCTTCCCTAGAACCAAAGTTCAAACCTTCACAGATTTATATTGCTATTTATTGCTCCAAAGTAGATAAATTAAGTTGGTGGGGAACTGCAGAGATCTGCGTTATTCCACACTTTCCATAATATTGGAGCAAATATTAGAGCTCTAATATTCTTGCCACTCCAACTCCCATGGGATTGTTAAATGTTTATGAGGAGTTATATATAAAAGACAGTACATCAAGAAACATTAGACAGTTAACACAGCTCCACTCCAACACCCGGAATGATCACAATCGGGCACACCCTAAGCATATCAAGAATCTGAATCATGCAGGACATCCTGGAATATACGATAAATAGTTCTACAAGAAGTCTGCACTACATAGCCACGCTAGTACCTGCATGATGCTTCTCCATCAACTTCTATAAACTTCTTAAAATAAATATAAGCTAGTATTTGATTCGAAGTGCAACATCTATTCCCATTAAACAAAATATTCTTACCATTTGCTGCAGAAAGGAAAGACTTGTTGTTGCCCCTTGCTTTATTAGTAAGGTCTTCTGTCACATCCATGTGCCGATGAATTTCTTCACGCATTTCTTCCAGAGTTTTGCATAGGTCAGCTTCCCAGTAATCTTTGTCTAGGCATTCAATTAACTCTGCCAGCTGTATCTTTGTGCTATAGTACCAGATTTTCTTATCTTTCTCACTTTCTGAATCTTCCTCTCTGTAAGAGTATTAAAAAAAAAAATACTAATTTTGAAATATCTGGATAAATGACAAAAATGAACATCAGCCTACTTTTTGCAGAGAACTATTAAATGCCAATACCTGAACGTGAATAAACAAATCACATGAGGACACTCATATGCATGCAGTTTAGTACCCAAATACTCCTTTCTCACTTCTCTCCCTTTTTTCATCCCCTCAGAAGTTCTCATGACAACTTCCTCAGAAAAGCTTTTTAAGAGTCTCCTTAAAACTGGTTTGTACAATCTGGCAACAACGTTTATTCTCATTATATTTACTATTACTGTAACCAGTAATGTACTACTAAGTCTCAAACAATTTGCAAGGAAGAGGGCATGGCTCCAGAATCCATAAAGGGTAGTGCTTCTGACCGCATATTCAGGAAATAGCAAAGTTAGAAAATTCGAAGCATAGAATATGACATTCATAAAATATTTTGTATTAGCATCTCTACGGCATTCACCTGTGAGAGCACCAGTAAGGGACAAAACACTCACAATACGATCCTTTGAAAAGATCAAAGGATTTCTACTTTTTTATCCATGGTACTCCATGACACCACTGAGCCTAGACAAAACTACTGGAGGACCACAGTGTCAAAAGCATCTCAACAGAGCCACCAGACCCAAGCGAGCTCCGTAAATATCTCGGGTAACGGGCTCTCCCAGAGCACTGGAGAGCGCAAGGAGGACGCTCCAAGTGGTTCTGCAGAAGGCTGCTTGATTTCAGCTTGGCTTGTTAGGTCCTGTTCAGCAGCAGCAGCCAGACCCAGGCTGGCTGGGGCAGGACCACTCCTCTCCTCAACACACCCCAGCACTCCCAATACTGTGAACACCGTGTGGGGTGACAAAATGATTTATTGGCCTGGCCTGCACGTGTGGAAGAGGAGCTAAACTATTGCTACACTTGCACTACCTGTAAAAGCATTACAGACCTATGGCTCACTAATAATCCCAAACCAAGTTGTTGACAGGAATGGAAAGCTGACTGTAGTTTGAAATATCTACCCTTGTAAGGTTTGTTGTGTGTTCTTCTCTACTGGTTGCCTCCACATGGCTTAAACATTAAAGATGGTAAAAATTGGCCTCAGGTATTCAGAAAGCCGAACAACTGTAAGGCAACTCGATCGTCATCTATCTACCATTTTCTACATTGTATTTATGAAACAACTGTGATATTCGCAAGTCAGAATATTACTGAAAAAGGTAGTTATGAAGTTAATAATGGCAATATTACTCAAAATTCAACTACTAATTTGTCACAACCATTACTACAAAACAGACTTTTGGTTTTGATGAGAAAACTTGGTGCATTGCAAAGAAATACTACAATTTCTCTCATAAAGGCCTTTGCTCATGAAAAGCAACTAATTCTACTTTACCCATCTACTCCTCTAGGCTACCAGTAACTTTCCATTAGTTTTAACAGGTTAGCATGGTTAAGTTTGACAAGTTTTCTCAGAAAACAGCTCATTTCAGGAAGACTGCCCACATACTACACAGGAAAAAGTAACAGCTGAACACTGACAAGCATTTGACTCTATGGAATATTCTGTGCCTGTAGATTTGCATGTTGAAGAAAAATTATTATTTAAACCGTATTTCCTCTAAACCAAGAAAGTGAAGATAAAGGCAAACACCCAAAAACTAAGATGGAAGGGGAGATGAGAATGCAAGAATACAGCTTTATACAGTAAGAGGAAAGAAAAAGATGACACAAAATGCTTAACTAAAAAGGACAGGGAAAGCATGGCTTCTGAATTTTCCCTGGCAAATGTCCAGTGGAAGTGGTGAGAGCAAGACACTGGCAGAGCACCAACTGTAAGGCTGCTCTGCTCCTTACAAACATGCCTGCAGAATATAATGCTGTTGCTAAGTTAGCACTTCAATTATTTCTTAGCTCACCGAAAAGGGAACTTTAACCTTTCATTTTGAACCCCTAGCTCATAACACGATTATTTGCTATATAGATATGCCATTTATACATCTTCTTATATGACCTAGATATACAACAATATGAACGCTTTATACAGTCTCATCATTCCACGAAGTAAGGCTGTGCTAGTACCCGTTTGCCAGACAAGCAGCTCAGACATAGAGGCTTGTACACCTTGCTTAAATTTAGATGCAAATCATCCAAGTGTTTTCTTCTTTTTCCACTTTCTCCCCCCATTTAGCAAATCTGAAACTGCTACAGCTATGCTAACGCATCCAGGATGTGTATGTATGTCACCTGAAAATCCCAAGAAGCATTTGTCTCTTCCTTTCCCATCAGTTCTTCCTACTCTAATGTTACAAGGTTCCATTGGACTGAAAAGCAATTAGCTGTTACCTTCAGTTTCCCTATATAACTCAAGAAAAAGCCTTCAGTGCCAGTAAAGGTATGCTATGTTACAGGCCAATAAAACCCAGAGGCACCCTGTGAAGAATCAAGACACTAGACCACAAAGAGAGAGTATTCTGCAGAAGGTACCTACAGCTAATTAATCTTTCCATGTGTGATTTGAGTGCTACCCATTAAAGAACTGCTCAGATAATATTCTAGAAATGGACAATGAGGTTATCCAAGAGTATTCTATTTCCTTCGACTTCATTTATATAGGGTTTTGAGCAGAGAATTTCTCTTCAATCGAAGGCTATCACAACCTTAGTAACAGAAGTTCAGGAGTTAGCATTTTCTCTTGACAAAAGCACAGACAGAAAATGAAATGGCACAAGCTTGCTGTTACACACGCTTACACGAAACTCATCTTTGGCCAGACTTCTTTTCAAGATGCAGGTGTATGCCAGTGGAAGCCTTGGAGTGCTCATTACCAACTCACTAACAGTCAAAGAACTACTGCAGAAAGCATTCTATGCGGATCCATTTTGTCAAAGTTAGTTAAGATTTAAATTAACAATTAAAAGATTTAAGCTAACTTTCCCTGAACACCTTCTTGCATTGGCTAAAGGGACACTACTTTTACCCTCTGAAGAAATCAGAGAGGCTATCGTACAAAGAAGATGGAAAGATCCAAGTCTACACAAGGACAGATTCCCAGTGTTTTTCTCTGACAAGCCACAGATTTGCCAGCTTGGTGCTGGACAGGTCTACTTCGACTCCAGGGGACTCAGTTGAGTCACATACATTAAGTGAGGCCAAGCAAGGGAGAAAAGAATCACACGAATATTTCCTACCTCTTTCAGCCTGCTTCACTACCAGGAACTATTCACTGGCAGGCTTTAGAGTCAAGTTTTAAGACGGATAAAAATAACAGCACAGAAGATGCTAGAAACTTTCAAGTAAAGTAATAACAAAGTAGATACACCCTTTCCTGAATTCCACGCTGGTACAATTAGGAACTGAAGAATTCAGCATTTTTTTTAAAGTAATCTTATTCAAATGAAGATCCAAAATCTTTTTAATTGGAGAAAATAGAGGAGGAGCCACTAAGAACATAAACAGCATAACAAATCTTGCAGAAAAAAAGCTGAAACTGTTTTTGACAGTGGAGGAAGATACATACAACTCAGGAATAACAATTTGTGTCTTCTTTCTGCTATCAAAATGAAAGCCAAACAAAGCTTCATTATCTTTTTTCATACACATTTGACAAAACCAATGCATCTCAATATTTCTAGAAAGATAACCTGTTAAAACACTGTTGCAGTTTACTAGGAGAATGCAAGTCAAAGTCCTAAATTTCCTGACTTGTTAACTTGCAGAAATAACCTTCACAAGCAAAACAAATGCAACTGACCCAGAGACATCATCCCAAACTTGGTAACAGCTTGAAACAAAAACTCTGGAATTAATTTTCTCTTGCCTTTTTTAAAAAAAAAAAAAAAATCTTGTTGATATTTGCTCATGGGGATGTATGACAGGACACCTCCTCAGTGTCCACTTTTCCATCTTCTTGTAAAACAGAAGAGGTGGAAAAAAACCAAACCCACAATGATGGGCTTAAACAAGGCTTATTGCACTCAGCAAGTGATAAGCGTGGAAATAAAAGAATCAGTGAACAACAACTCTACAAAACCCTTTAAAAGATGGGAAAACCAGTGGTATGATGGATTTATAACATTTATAAAAGGAGAGGGGAGAAGAAGTAAAAAGCCCTAAAAACCCCTTTGAAAAACAAACAAAAAAAAAGCAAGAATTTAGGATTTCAGTTCTCTCATCCCTCTGGGCAAGTTTTCAAATCAGTGGTTGTGCAGATTGTTTTTAGATCTATTAGTTTCCTCTGATGTATTTGATCACATGGCATCGGTGAACACACTCTATACATTTTAATGAAGTTGATATGATAATATCATTTCGTGCATCTCGGGTTTTAGCATTTGACAGTTATTCTTTAAGTTACCCAACATATCAGGTGTGGTTTGATCTTGTTCAGTATATATATGCTAAATGGTTGGTTTTGCAATACAGCATGCTTACTGAATCTAAAGGACATTACAAACTGAAAATACAGAATTTAATATCTATGTGAATTATTAAAGTTGTATTTCCCTGTAATGTAGCTATGTAGTAAACACTTTTGTCCCCTTAGGAAATGGCTTTCTCATGAAGTTTTAAGGCACATTGTGCACAAATTTAATTATGTCAAAGTTTTATGAAAAGCCTAGTGGAATTTGTTGATTCTGTACATGCCACACTGCCCTGTCAAAGAGCACTACTGCTGCAGATCTACCAGAACAACTCTCTGTCTCTTTTTTCTTCCGATTCCATCAGGAGAGCTTGAGAAATTTTTAATCCAAGCCACATACTTTAGAAAGAACTCATTTCGGAAGCATGCGCAGGTACATTTACACTAGCAGAAGGCATGATATCTAATGGTAATAGCAAGGATAGGAACTAGCAAAGAAAGAACCTGTCGACCTAGATGATCCGTGTGAGAATGTGAAAGAAAGTCAGGAAACAATTACGGGAAGAACTGCATTTCTTCTCGTCTTTGTAAGCATAAAAATACTTTTCTGTTTATGTTTTGAAATATTTTAATCACTAACAAAAAATCACTAAAATGGAAAATCCAATAAAAATTTTCTTTTTGCTGTATCGTTTACAGTTTTCATCTATTTTGATTTGAAAGGGAATACTGAGGCATTTTCTCTTTAAATAAATATCAATTAGGATACAAAATTTACATTCATAAAACTTCATTTATGATTTCTGAAACAAATTATTTGCCCGCTGAACTCCTAATGGGAATGCAAAATCATTTAAAAAAAATTCAATACAGTTAACCTTTGAGGATGTCTTTTCTAGTGCAGTAAAAATTACTACCAATGTACGAGAGAAAAAGAACTTTCACATGTGTAGATTTCAAAGGATCAAGAAGCACCTGCATGATTTATTTTAGTTTAAAATATGTTGAAGTACTGCCTGTATCAAAACCTTCTGAACATCAAATACTCCATTAGGAAAAAAACACTGTTTCATAGATCAAGTTTAGTAAAAAATAATTACCAACCTGCCTACATGCTGGGGGAAAAAAAAGCCTGCCTATTTATCTTAAAATCACCTCCTGACTGAGTGACTCTCTGGATTTTTTTAATGTTCATTCCCAGACCTTTAATGGTAAGCAGAATATAACTGTTCCGCCAGTACAGTAGAGCAGTGAGACAAACCCATCTTTAAAACAACCTTTTCCTCAAGAGTTTGAAAGGAAAGATACAAAAACCATGCACAGAGGAGAGTATCTATAAGTTATTAAAGCATAGGCAACTAGAGCAAAAAGAATATTGGCTACATGTCCTTCACAATGAGGCTTTTGTGAAAATCAAACTTCCAACTCATTTTGTGGAAACGGAAGGTAGAAAATTATGAGGCAATCAAAGAATTAGGATATCAACAACTTCAGGCTGACCATCACATCCTGCTTAACCATCTGAATGGTACATCACATACTGTAGAGCATGATGGAGTATAAACAGAGTATTTAAAAAGAAAAAAAAAAAAAAGAGAGTATAAAAGACTCCCTGCATCTTTTAAAAGATTACTTGGCACTACTGTGGCATTTATAACCTGGAGATAGTAAAAATAATCAAACACGGACTCTTTTTTTCCAAGTGTGAAAGAAGAACACAGGAAAAAAGAACAGTCATAATTAATACTTAAAGCATCAGCTAACAATACATTAGAGAAAGGGCACTATATTTTAAAAGACTAAACCGAGTCCTTAGAAGTGTGTTGTTTGCAAGCTGTAACACCATCAGCAGTCCTCACAATCCCTTTTAAAGGCACTGGCTAATATCTTAACACTCACTGTAATCGGTTTTGTACGAAATTCTGTTAAGGTATCCAGCTGTGGCTTATTTTCTCCATAACACTGAATGGAAAATTGTATTTCAAGAAATCTGGTAAAATCTCTTTATTTTTTCCTAAATTAACTATACCTTTGATTTCACTTAAATACTATTTCTCCTCCATTATGAGAACAATTACATAACAGCAGTCTTTCATAAGAAAAACCAGTGTTTAGCTATTTTCCTGTGAAAAATGTAGAAGTATTTTTATAATTTCAGATTGAACTTTTCAGGTAAAAAACCAGTGCACAACGCCCTCACTAACAAGGGTTTGATTATTATTAATGCTTTGATACACATTACTATCTCAAGACCAACGAGTAACAGGAAATTCTGTTAAATGTACAAAGTAGATCGCTTGAAGACAGGCATTTCTTGCTATTTTGACTTTGTTTATGCCTATAGAAGTGTCCACATACAACATTTTCTGCATTTCTAGTTAATAAATAAGGTGAATACCTTCGAGTGCCTCTGAAAGTCTTAGCTTCAAAGGCAGACCATCAAACCACTACCAGTATCTAACTGCCAAGTACTATCTAAGCAGGTGACAGTACACCAAATCCAGTGTCCTATACACCATGTGATCACAAATACAGTTAAACTACTTTTCAGTAACTTTTACAGGAAACTGGAGAGTTCTCATTAAAATTCCCTTTCTTTTCCTCACATTCATGTGTTTTAGGCACATTAAAATTAAGCCAGAGGTCCTGTTTCTTCCCCCTTTTTATATATAGATTATGAGAATATTTATTTTGGAGAAAATTCATGGATTAATTACATGGTCATTAGAAATCTAGTTACAAAACAGCAAGCAATGGTGTTATCTAAAGAAAGAACAATTTTAAGATGGCAACAGCAACTTACAGGATATACTGAAAATACATTCAATACAATATTATTGTTCAGAAAATACTAAATTATTAATTTACTTACATAATGATTCTTCTGTTCAGGAACCAATATTTTCGTCTATGCCTGTCATATCCAATAGGTTCATGTCGAATGTATGGTTTATTTTTTTGGATTTCAGCAACACAGTCAGTAACTCCAGGCACCTTATGTGCTACGCAGACCTCACACTGCCATTCATCTTCTGGTACCTCTTCAAGAGGCGGTTTCACGCACTCCAAATGGTACACAGCTGAACAAGTTTCACAGCAAAGCAAATCCCCAAGTTTGTGACAAACCCTACAATGATCATCATACTGAATAACACCTTCTGACATTAACTCTTCACGTGCAATGTTTGTTGTAAGAAACTGATCCACTAAGAACTGCAGAACTTTGATTTTATTCTCTACTGGTCCATAAGGATAGTCCTCTGTCTCTTGGTAAGGAAGAACATGATGGTATTCCTTGTCACTCTCACAATATACCCGCAGAACCTCTGGCCACGTCATTCCATCTATGAAATACAAAGTGGAATTAACGCTATCTTTGAGGTCAGCAGGTCCAAAGGTAGTATTTGAAGTGTCTTCTTCACGTAAAACTGCTTTTAAAAGCACTATATGCATCTCTGCCATAAGTGTGCACTGCTCTTGACTTACCAGAGCAGCACAGAAGTCCTCAAAACGAAAAGGAGAGAGGCGTAAAACAGTGCCAAAGTTCCTTAGTACCTCATAGATGGCAATAACATTCATTATATGCTCACTAGGCACCATTAAGTCCTCTGAGGATTTAGGAAACTCCAAGGGTGGGATATCTTTTTCTTCCAATATTGGAGAACGAGGACGATGCACTCTTTGTCTTCTCCTACCTGGAATAAAAAACAACAGTAAGAATTTTGCCATCCACAGGTCAACGTGTTTAAACATCTATCCTCAATGACTGTGTCAAACTTTCTAGACTACTGCAAATTAAGGATTCACATCTTCACAGTTACACAAATGCGATAATTCAGCTAATAATCTTATACTTTAATTAACAGTATAAAACAAAATACACGAGATATCTGAAGTTTGCTTTAGACACTTAGAGCAGTTGCATTTCCCATATAATATACACCTATTGAATCTTTAAAATGAAATTTAGAATTTTTATTGTTTAAATCAGTTAAAAAGAAAAACATTTCCCTCAGCCAAAATATTAATTTAGAAATTTTTCTCATTTTTATTCAGCATGACTAGTTTATCATGTCTTCTTGGAATTTTAACTTTAAACTTGAAGAATCAAGCTTCAAACAACAGATATTTTATATTAAAATATTGCAAGCTATTCTCCTATCCAGCAATAGCATACAGGAAAGACCATTTCAAGCAAATGTCTTAGGACATCAATTTGAACCAAATTAAATACAAAAGAGAACGTAAATCACTTTGTCCACTGCTTTCTAACTAGAATATTTCTCCTGGATACCTACAAGCCAGAAACAAAAGCTAAACGTGATGTTTTATGAAAACACTTCAGGAACTCCCAATTTAAAAAAAAAAAATAAAGCAACACCAAAAAAAACCCCAAAACACCGTATAAAACCAAAAGCAAACCAAACCACCTCCATGCTTCGATAAAACAGGAGAGAGAACAACAGAATGAGAAGGAGGCAGAATTATGGAAGGACAAAGCCTAACACAAAAAGCCAATCTGAAGAGCTGTTTAACTACCTAAAAGAAAAGACACTGAGCATAATTAATTCAGTCTCAGATGCTAATTCAGATGAAATGCTACACTTTCTTCCCTTTAATTCCACTATCCTTGATGCCAAGCGGAAGGAAAAACAAAGAGGAAGCTTTCTGTACATGGCACTATTAGACAGATGAAATATTTCAATCTTCTATCCAAGTAATGAAGAAATATCCAGCTACATGCAACTATTTTGCAGCTATCAGTTAAAGTAGTACGATGCATTCATTAAACCTACTTCCTTTTCTAAATAAACTTAATCAAGCTTAGACAATCTCATAAACTAATCATAAACCCATCATCTTGGTTTAAAAGCAAGAACTGAGATGAAAACTGGTTTTAGGTCCTCTGGTAAGCATACTAAGATTCTGGTAAATAACTAAATTTCATAATTATCAATTCTACACAGAGAAGCGGTCAGCAGGATGCATTTTATTCACAGAGAAAATCCAAAGGAAAAATGAAGTTGTCCACAACAGCGGTTTCATATGCACACTTTAATAAAAAGTGACATATATTACACATTGTGTGATCTGAGACTGAAGAGTGACATGAATAGCACTCTGGAATTTTAAACTTCACGTTAATAATTTCTTGATCAAATTCTGTGAATAACAGACACCACAAAAAATTGGTTCAAAAATGAAGAGAGAAAGTAAGTTCCAGTCATCTTGGATGTTACTATTAAGAGGAAATGGTTCTCTGTGGCATTTGTTCAACCCACTCTACTCCCTCCAATACAGGAAAGAAGTCTCATGAGGAGTGGGTAAAAAAAAAAAAAAAAAAAAAAGCCAGAAAAGCGAGGAGAACAACAACTGAACCTGAAAACACCATCACTAAAACTTCAATGCACTGAAAAGGGAAAAAAAAGTTACCAAAAAGAAAAGCTACCTGTAAGAAACATCTTGATGCCTAGAGACAGTTTGCCAAATGATTCCAGAAGAAAAATAAATCAATCACTGAGCTAGTACGGCAAGATGACACCAGATACATTTCTCCCTCTCAAACTTTAAAGAATGAAATCTTATGCAACAAATTAGACACTCTGAAACAATATAGAAGATGAACTGCCAGATGTTTCCATTACAGAAGTAATGGGTCAACATCATCTGCATATAAAAATAAATTTCCAAGTTTAGTTAAGTTTGAGTTCTGACTGTGGAAAACGAAAGAATGCTTGTATGACTGTCTTCCAATATGCTTCTGCACAAATCAGTGGAAAATGTTTAATCATGGCAAACACACAAAAACACAGGAGTTTCGCAGCCAGGCACAAAGCAAGTGTTCTTACAGCAAGAAATATCGAGATTAAACCCAACTTTTCTATCATCATGATCCAAAATCATATATGCATAAGCCACAGTTGGTTTAATTAAAAGACCCCAAAGAACAACACGCACACACCTGCACACTCACAGATTAAATTGCTTTAGGGTCCTGAAGCTTCCTTCAATATTGCAGGAGGGTGTAGGACCAGTCCTAGTAGGTGGTCACACAAGACAACAACAACGCAGAACAGATACTCTGAAATCACTAATGGTCTTCTCGCCCATTATCACAAAGAGCTGGCAGAGCTATAAACTAGAATTCTTTTCAGTGTTTGCAATTGTACCAGAAAAACGTGTCTGTCACACAGTAAAGCCATAAAAAAACAGGCCTTCAAGAAAGCAAGCAGCAAGAACGATAACCCTGGTTTACCGAAATTAATCAGAAGCGACAAACCCCCCAGTAATTTCAGGCAAAGATAAACTCGAATGAAGGAACACTGCTGAAAGAAGCAAAAACTCCTTACCTCCTCTCATTTGTTGAGATTTTCTACTCCAAGAATTAATTGTCCTATGCATTATTTTTATCCTTCACTGAAAAAACCCAGACTCCCCAAATACCATCTTTGTTGATGTCTCTTTCACAAGAGAAAAACACTGGTGTATTTGTTAGGTCAAACTAACAGGAGAAGCGAAAAAAAGAACCTTAAAACAAGGCATTCCTAGTAATTTCTGAAAAAGTTAACGCTTCCTCTTAAAAAGGAAGCATATTGGTACAATTAGAGGTCTAGGATAAATGTGTTATCAGGACACAAAGTATGTCACAATACCATAATAAAGAATTCTACTTTGGTGCAAGTACAATGTAACCATGTGGCTGCATTATTCACACCACTCTTCATCTTCTATTTAAATCGATTTACATATTTTCATGTTTGCTTTGGTATAAAGCACAGAAATTTCAAAAGTAATTGTAAAACTAACAGTTTAGACAATAAGGAAAAACATATTGCATTATAAAACGCCTGCTTCATTTGCCCACTACTTTGCGTTATGCCTCACGGTATGCAGCACAGTTACTATATCGTACCACTCAACTCCCGATCCATGCTGTAAATCACACACCACATCCCAGGAGCTCAAATCATTTCTCTTTTCAGACACTGAACTGCTTTGAACAATTCTGCACTGCATATATTCTGGTTTCCAGAGCTAAAAAGGGGAAGTATTCAAAGATGCTGAATATTTTAGAAAGAAATGGTACCGAGACATATTTTTCTTGAATGGCTTGGTGGAGTAGTATTTCCAATCTTTCTACATTGTATTTTTTTTTCTTTCCAATTTAATTTTCAATTTGTTATTGATATTTGCTGTACCTGGGTTGAACAGAACTTGAAGACTAGAACTTCGAAGAATCACAAAGTGTGATTTGGAAATTCAGAAATTCCAGAGAATTTGTACTTAAACATATTACTGTTTGATGCATAAACTGCAATCTCAAGAAACACTCCAGATACCTTTAGAAAACAAAACAAAAAAAAACCCCAAAACCAAACCAACTAAACCGAGTCTAATCTCCAGCAAAAAAGATGGACATTCTCTGCCAAGGTGCTCATAAGTCTTGAGGCATTCTAAGTGGCTGTTGAACTCAAATTAAAAGTGTAGGCCAATGGAATACGCTATAATGATGTCAAAGTGCTAGAGTCTCTGTTTTGAGCTGAGATTTTTTTGTATTCTGCTGGTTGCGTGATTAACCCCCGCCCTTGCCACTAACTCAGACAGCTGAAGAAAGGCAGTTTTGAACTCCAAATAAGGACTCTAGGCTTCTCTGCAATTCTGATAATAACAATTTCTTCATTGCTAATTATCTGTGGTGTTCTGACATCCCATACAGCTCACGCTACTTAAAAACAGTTTCAACTTCCATGAAGGTTTTTGAAGATCATGATTCATGTTTACCCAACTGTTCTTCATATACACCAAAAAAATCCCTCAAATTTTGAGAAAAGTTTTCCTACAGTAAACATATCTAACTTTTCAAACTCTTCACTTTCAAGGAAAATCTTCTCTTTTCCACAAGGCAAACTGTCCAATGCTTGAATTTGACATTCACTGGCAGACAAAAAAGAAAAACCCAACCAACCAAAAAACAAGACGACTTTGGTCTCTTCAAACATTTTTATGTTCAAATTATTTTATTTTTAATTATTTTAGAGATTCGAGGATTTGACAACAATTTTTTTTTAACTTGTTGTCATTCGTCATGGATTTTGCCCTCCACAGGGAATTCTGACTATCTGTGAGAAAAAGTGTTAATTGAAATTTAATTAAATCGATTAAAAAATAATCAATTTAATGACCTCAATTTAAATATTTAAGAGAAAAGTGCAAGCTTGTGTAGACTATACAGTTGATGATTACACAGTAACAAACATTTATTTTGATTTGGGACACTACATATGTGCATTACATTAATATGTATTTAAAACAATATATGGAAGTGAAATAACATAACAAATTCAGTGCAATGACCGCACTGAGCAGTCAACAGAATTACACTGTTGCTCTCTTTCCTTAACTTTGTATTACTACATCACCTACTGCCGTTAATATTTTTCAGTTTACCTTGGTATAGTTTAAATAACTTCGGATAAATAATTTTTATGATTTGCCCTGAATAATTTCCCATTTGTGGAAATCTCTTCTCATAGCAAGAGGGTTTTTTTTGGTTTAAATAGAAAAATGCAATATGTACTACCTTGTCTAAAACTAAAAACATCAAGAGGATTCCTGAGCAGGTATATGAGCAGAAGTTATTTTTCCTTGAAGCACCAGCACCACCTGACTAACTAGACTTTAAACTGAATCTAGA